CACACACAAAATATTAAAGTTTTGTTTTTTTTTTTTTTGTTGTTTTTTTTTTTTTTTTGAGACAGGGTTTCTCTTTAACAGCCCTAGCTGTCCTGGAACTTGCTTTGTAGACCAGGCTGGCCTTGAACTCAGAGAGCCCCATCTCTGCCTCCCTCGTGCTGGGATTAAAAGGTGTGGTCACTTGTTTTAATAAACATCTTAAGTACATTTTCAAGTGACACTAAGTTTTTACAAAACTTCTTCCAATGGCACAAAATTGCTTACTGTTTTTATATAAAGGTAATAAGCTTGGCTCCCCCTCAGTCTTCCAGGCATCAGTATAAAAGACCATCTGACCAAGTGAGACCAAGTACTTACTCATGACCACTCTGTTTTGGAGAGTGGAAGGAGAGAAGGCCATTTTGCTGAGTTTCATGAATGAAGCCAGAAAGTAACAATAAACATTAGTCGAATTCAGATAAATAAGTTGCATGTTAGTTCTTTATCTTGCCACAAGCATCTACATCCATTTGTGCATACTTCTAGTCTTTTCAAATTTAATTTCCAGCATTCACCTGAATGTTCTTCAGGATTTCAGCTGTATCTAATTTTATTACTTTACACTCCCATAACAGTGTGAAAAAACTTGCTAAGCTCCATTCTGTTTAAAAGCATTTGCAGAACTTCTTTGTTCTGTGAATCTAATAGATAAAAATGGTACATAATAGGATTTCTTTTGTTTTGTTTTTTTCAAGCAGGGTCTCAACTGTATAGCTTTGGCTGCCTCAGCTTCCTGAGTGCTAAATTTAGAGACACCTGCTACCACACCCAACACTCAATCTCACTTATATTTGCATTCTGTATGAAGTTGAAATTCTTAACATTTGCATAATATGATTTGGATTTGTCTAGAGACTATGCCCAAGCACTCTAGTGTTAATCTTTTGCTTACTAGTTAGCAAGCATCCTTTATAGATTAAGAAATTGAGTCTTTTATCTTCAGTAGAAATTCCAAGTTTCTTCATCACCAACATGCTATTTTTATTATTTCATGCTATACTGATTTTTCTATTCATATTTTTCTTAAACTGTAAATTCCTCTCATTAAGTACAATTCTTTTGTATATCCACAGAGGGATGCTTTCCACATCTTTAGAATTGAAGATCAAATTAAAAAGTAAAGATAAAACTGCTTCAGGAATGACTAAGCACAGGTCTGATCATGAGGTGTCTACTGGGATTGTACATGGTTACAATGAACAACCAAGTTCTGATAACATAAGTTAGTCTGTCAAACAGGGAAGAAGGCAGTCCTAGCTGCTGTCTCCAGTATCTCCTGGGTAGGTACTATAAAATAAAGAAGCTGCTGGTGGACATACTTTCTACTAGGAGGAACAGAAAGCACTCCTCCATGGCCAGAGAAGAGCAAGCCATACATTCACTAGCAAGAGCAGGAAATGCAGTACCACATGTATGTAGTACACACACATACATTCAGGCACACCCATATACGTACAAATATTTCTTTTCTTTTCTTTTTTTTTTTTTTTTTTTTTTTTTTTTTTTTTTTTTTTTTTTTTGGTTTTTGAGACAGGGTTCCTCTGTGTAACAGCCCTGTAACTCCACCTGTAGACCAGGCTGGCCTTGAACTCACAGAGATCCCCCTGCCTCCTCACTGCTAGGATTAAAGGTATGTGCCACCACCAAAAGAAAAGAAATTTTAAGATAAAAGCAAAATCATCTTAAAGGAAAATTGGAGCAATTTAAAAAGATGGGAACCACTCCAAATTGTTAGTCATTATGCCAATGAATGTACCATGAAAAAAGATTTGAGAAAGGTCTCTGAGTTCTCCTATTATAATTAAAAAAGGTCATAAAAGTTAACTTCTCTCTAACCTATTAAAATGCATTTTATTTCGTTTACTGAGTTCACTTTCTGAAATGGGCACAATAAGGTTAAATATTGTCAGAAGAAGAAAATGCAAAAATCTGACTTTATTATACTGGGTAAGAATAATCATAATTTAATGGTCAAAAGGTATAGATTTTTAACCCAGTCTCCTCAACTCTGCCAGAAGACCGCCTTTTCTCCTCTAGGGGAATGAACACAAATTTAACTATAAGGGGTGCTTTGATATTTCCTCTAAGAGCTTTCAAAAAGGGACCAATCTGCTTTAAAAGGTTTGGAATTAGTCTACTTCAAACAAGAGTGATGATTTCCCCAGATCCTCCAAGACAACTAATATCTGTGTACATTAAACAAGTGATTAAACCTACACTGCCTCTAAGATTAATGCCTGTAAAATGTGATCTCTGAAAGCTATAATGCATTCATGAATCTTATGTTTTATGGTTATTTAGTTAGTCCATTTAACAGTAGTTCAAAAAGTACACTGTTAGTAACAGTCTATAAGGAGAGGTACTTTGTGAGTGGAGTGTGAGTTAAAGGAAAAGTAGTTACACACTGAGATCAAGACTTGGTTCTGAATGTATCCTCCTCAGCACACTCTCCAGCAGTTTGGCAGAGTGCCCAGGATGATTAGCAGCCAGTGCAAGCAGAGCCTGGATCCAGTTGAGATGAACTGCAAAGGCTCCCCCAAGTGGTCACACACAAATAACAGCGAAGTGTGGAACAATCACTGCTGCTGCTTTTGAAGCTAACCCCAAATTCTCTAAGCAAAGCCGATGCCTACAATTAGAGAAAAATGTAATCAAATACTAGTACCACAATGGGAGAGAGGTCTTCCATGCTTTAAGAAGCGATGCTGATGAACAGAGAATTACTTTTGGAAGGAAAAAAAACCTAACAGTAAAACTACAAAAATGTGTATAAAATTTTCTAGGCAAGATGATAATATCTCAAATAGTTGATTACTTTTCAAATATGCTCAACCATTCCTAACTATCAGCATATCCTTTGTGGGTAACTACATTTACTTGGAGCCAAGTTCTGATACAAATGTAGTTACACATCAAATGAAATACATCGGAAAAGAGAATTTATCAGTGTTGCTATATGCCTAACTTAGACTTTAAAGAAGTTCCCTTTAAGCCACCAGTAACCTGCATTGGCTGTAAATGACATAAACAATACAAATTGGTCTTCCTACATGTTTCAGTATTTATTTTTTGGTGTTTTAATCACCCAAGAGTCTCCAATTAGCAAGAGCATTATACTGTTTGCCACTCTCTCAGCCATGATTTGCTGATGCTGCCCACTTTAGATAAAGCTCAGATGTGCAAAATGTGCAAAGCATTTAATTAAAACATCTGTTGTCTTCTGCTAATCACCCATTAGTCAGTGGTAAAGCCTATATAGGTGTGGTAAATATTCAACCGAGTAAAGCAATTTTGAAACATTATAAAACCCAGAGTCTCATCATTCTCTTTCTCCTTTTTTTGTTTTTAATCTCAAGCTTAAAGGTGAAGGATAAAGAAGAATCCTGGGTAGTCTAACACAATTACAGCATGAAATAAACTTCAGACAGACAAAAATAAAAAAAATAAATCAAACTGTTCTCTCAAATATTTAAGAAAATTATAAAACCAACATTTTTCCTGAAGAGAAAAAAAATAATTGTCATATATAGAGCTATCAAACTTAACTTCATAGCTTGATTTTTACCTCAAAACTTAAAAAATATACATTTCAATATTCCAAGGCACAAACAGAACTCACTGTCATAATTTACAAGAGACACACACCCTCCTACATAGCTTGTAGTCTCTATAGGACAAAACAGAGCAATTCAAAGTGTTACCATTTGTGTATTATGTAACCCTAATTTAGAATAAAAGCATTATGAGCCTTAAAGAGGAATACATGTATTTAAACATAATTTAAATACATGAAGGCTTTAAGATATAAATGACCTCAAAATGAAACAACCCCCCAAAGTTACTTGTTTATAGAGTAATAAGGCCTCTGAACACAAAACTGTAACCAGGCCTAGCAGTGTATCATAACGGCACAACCTACTCCTGGTGCCTTGTTTGACCAGTGTACCAAAACTATCTCAGCCTTGATAAGTAGTGTAGGTGTATTACCTACACCTAACACGAGACATATGTAAGTTAAAAAAAAAAAATCTGAAAGACTACACGGGAAGAAATGGCTGCTAAATCATAGTTCAAGAAAAGAGCAATTTAACGCATCCCAAATACTGTCAGCTATATATTACAAGGAACCCCATTCAGGAAGGCTAAAGTAAAATTCCAAAAATTCCCAGGGGCGTAGGAAAAGAGTAAAAGCATGGCTAGCCTGACCTTAACCGGCTGCTTTTTGAGTAATGCGGAGAATTTTCTGAGCCTCTCACCGACAGCCTTCGAGGCTCTTCCTCACCCCCCACCCCCACCTACACAAATACTCGCCCCCAGAAAAGGGGAGTTTAATGAATGTTATCTCGAGCTGCAACCCCAGGAACTGGTAGTTTGAAAATAAAGTCCCAATAAAGTGTTAAAAAAAAAAAAAGTACCCCCGCACGAAAATAACCAAATACACCCCAACCAATCCACAAGCTGTCACCGCGCTGTCGGATCTGCCATCTACTCCCCCCAGGTCCGCTGCCCGGCCAAAGGCGAAGGGAAGAGAAGGCAGGCACCTTTCTGCTTCCAGACAAACGTGCCCAGGCTGGGAGAGCACGCGCTGAGCGGCAACCGCCCCCGCAGAGGCGTGTGCTCGCCCACGGCCACTTTGGCCAAACAACTGGAACCTCGTGGCTCGGAAGTGGCCGCGGGAGTTGCAGCGAGCCGCCTCCCCGCGATCTGCGAGCCCCCAAAGGTTGTCAGGCTGAGCCGCCCGCCCGCCCCGGTCCACGCCGAAGCGCCAGCGCCGCAGAGGGAGGCGGCCGGCCCCGCCCGGAAGGGGCGGCCCGCGGGGGCGCGTGGGGCGCGGGGCGCGGGGCGCGGGCGGGACACGCAGTGGCTCCCGCGCCCAGGTGGCAGGGGCGGGGCCCGCGTGGCGCCTCCGGGCTGGGGCGCCCGAGCCGGCCGTTACGGCACCGCGTGGGGCCGCCACTCACCGGCTCGCACCTCGGCCGCCTCCGCGCCGCCGCTCCTCTCCTCAGCCGCGGGCGCCGCGCAGCCCCATCTACCGACTCGGGGCTCGCGGTCGGGCGGGCGGCTCCCGCCGTCCCCGCCGGCCTCGCCCTCCGCCCGGCTCCGGGCGCCGCCGCTGCCCGCCGGCCCGCGCGGCCAGCCTTCCTCAGCCGCTCCGCTCCCGCCGCCGCCGCCGCCGCCGCCGCCGGGGCGCGCTCCTCCTGGCCTCGCGCGTGCGCCGGACGCCGGCGAGCGCGCGGGCTCGTGCGCGCGGAGCCCCCCCCCGCGCCCCGCCCCGCAGGGCCCCGCCCCTCGGCCGTGGCCCGGCCGCCAGGTGCTGCCGCCAGAGGGCCCCGCGGCCGGGTCCCTTAGGGTCTCCCGGCCCGGCGCGCGTCCGCAGCGTTCTGGGGGCGAGGAGCGGGGGACAGGCCCAGAGCGGCTGTGGCACAAAGGACTCGCGGGCGTCCTGGAGGCTGCCTGCGCCTGCCCCCCTCTCATGCCCCTGGCTCGGAGGTGGACTTGGCGGGGGTCTCAGTTTCCCCCCACAGGCCCAGCCCGAGACTGCGGTTCACACCGACAAACGAAGGGACACTGGCTCCTGTATAGCGAGGGGGCTCGGGCGGGATCCCGGGGCGAGCGGGCTTAGCTCCCAAGCATCTGGCCTTCCCAGACCTGGAAGGAGGCGGTGTGCGGTGGCCCCAGCCGCGACCCTGCGCGGAGTGGGGCGATGGTTCATGGGTGCCTTACCAGAAAGTGTCCTTTTGACAAGAGTGTAGCTTTAATTTTTTTTTCAGCTGAAAGGAACTGAGCAGTGCAATGTAGCAGCTGACACTTCTGGCTTGAAACACAGCAAGACAGTGCCTAGAGCTTCTAATCCCCCGCGGAGCTCAGTGCGAGCCCTCAGACCAGAACTGTCGTGTTCTCCCTAAAATTGAAGCAAGTATTACATGCTCTTTCAGTGGAACAACATGTGTCCTCAGTGGATGCAGAAAGTGCAAGTAAAACTACTGTGACCATACATCCGGTGACTTCCCCTGTGCAGCTTCTCCTGGCTTCTGAGCACCTTGCACAGCCCCTCCACAAACTAGCAACGAGATGGGCTTCCGAGACGAGATGCATTGTCTCTTCCGTGGGTGTAGCAGGCATGGAAAAGATGGGAAAGAGACCACAGATTCAGTGTATTAAGAGGGCCCCAGTGAGTTTTGTCTTTAGCATCAACCAAGCATCAAAGATTAATTTGCTCTGCCATGAGGATCATTAATTTTGCAAACCAACATGTAGGGGGACTTTGTAGAGCGTTAATTTAGAACCTTCTTTCCCATAACAGCAAACCTGAGAAGGGGAAATTGGAAGCAATTAAGAAAAGCGGAAGATGTCAAGGAGCACAGAATAACTTTGGGTAGGTACTATAGCCCCCTGTAGTTAAGCCTGCCTGGTGACATGTGATGTGGCTTAGGCAAAAAGGAAGCATGGTTGTCCTCACAAGATGGTGTGGACTCTTCGGGTCTTCCTTATTTTTCTGGATACGTAGTGGCTCCTGCCTGCAGCACCCTACCCCCCCCCCCAGACCTGTAAACTTTTATCTAGTCTCCCAATTCCCACCTCACCACACTTTTCAACCCATTGGTGTCCCTGCCCTGAGCTCTGGAGAGGGACACAAACAAAGTGAATGTCATTTCTGGGTATATTGCTGCTCCATCTATTGTGCCTTTATTTTTCTCAGGGGTCTCATGGAAATAGTGTACTAACCTGCCACGCTGTCCCTACAAACAGATGAAATGACCCAAGGAAGCTTCGAGGAGGAAGTAGTCTCTACCTGTCAAATCACAGCTGTAGATCTCTAGGATCAGCCCTAGCCAATACTTTTGTCCTGGCATTGAAGAGCAGAAATAAGTGCATTTCATTTACAGTTCCAAATCTTCTCTCTAAACACTGACAGAAGTTATAGATAGAGGCCGATCGCTGTTGAAAGGCTCATCCTCAGCATCACAGAAATGGTTTCGCTTCAATAACTGTCTTCAATCACTTCTTTCTTGGGAGCTCTTGCCAGGGACGTTTCCTGTCAGTGTCTATGTTTTATCAGACACTCCTATACCAGTTATATTATGAAGCAGTACTTCTTTCTAAATAATAGCCCACCTTGTGACATTCTGCCCTTCCCCTAAACTTTAAAAGTGGGACATGCTGGAGTCAATTGAGAATGATCTGGTTTGAACACTGAAAGCCCCTGCCCTGGCTCGCCAGCTCACCTTCTGGAAAGCCTATTATTCCTGAACCAACACCCATCCATTTCCCACACCTGTTTCAAGAGCTTCATTCTAGGGAAGGAGACAGTTATGATTGAAAGTGACACTGAGTCTTTCTCTTCAGTGTTCTTAACAACCTTACTGTCCTTTCCCTTCAAGGTTAATCTAAACTTTAAAGTCTAAATGGGATCATAATTTCACTACAGCCTTGTTGTAATCAACCGAAAGGAATTTTGATTTTTTTAAAAAAATCTAAACATCCATGGTTAGCTTTTATTTTCTTCCCTCAAATATAAATAAAAGTTGAGGGTGGAAAGATAGCTCAGTGATTATGAACACTTGCTGCTGGCACCTGAGTTGGGTTCGCAACACCCACATAGCAGCTCACAGTCATCTGAAACCCCAATTCTAGGTGATCGGACACCCTTTTCTGGCCTCTGAGGGCACCAGGAATGCATGTGACGCAGGCAAAACACCCATATACATAAAAATAAAAGAAAAAGTTTAATATATATATCGATAAAAGTTTGTATGATGACATGTACTCTGACTAGATATGCTATTACAGAAATAAAAAAGTTTGCTAACAGCAAGAGCCCCAAAGCTTAGCAAAAATAAAAAATAAAAAAAATCCACATCCTTTTTGCTCGTTTTCCAAGTGATCCATCATAAGACTGCAGTGTTCTTAGAGGATAGCTTTGTGAAAAATTGCAACTGACGAGCATCACACAGTCCAAGCAAGGCTCCCTCCAGTATACTTTAAATACTTTAGCTTCACTCTTTTATGTCTGTACACAAAGCTAGGTCAGACTCCCCAGATCCAGCCTTCTTGCTAACCTTTCTAATTCTAGCCTGTCTCCTACCTGCTTATTCGTTACCCTACATGATGAGAAATTCATCCTACATTCCATTTTGACTATCAGAATCACCCTAAGAACTGAACAGCAACAAGAAGACCAAAAACAACATCACTAATGCCTGCTTCACTCCTAGATGTATTGGCCCAGGGTACAGCCTGCAGGACAGGGTGCTTCAGGCCTCTGAGGTGGTTCCAGTGTATAGCAGAGGAAGGAACTATGGAAATGAGTCACCTTTCAGGGAACATTCACGTCACAGAGGTAGCTCCAAATTATCTCAAGTAATCAAATTAAAATACCTAATCCTGTGCTGTAAGACTCTTTGCCAATTGACTAGAATAGTCTCCTTTCAAAACAGCTTAAATTTATCTCCTTTCAAAAGCTTCCCCAGATTAGTCTCCTCTGGATGCCTGGAGATCTCCAGGTTCCCAAATCTCTGCGCATCCTGGCAGCACAGGTTTACAAAGCCTGGGACCACAGTTGACTATGGATAATATTGTTTTAATCTTGCTTTCATAGATAGCTGTCAGGGCCTTTTTTGTAATCTTAATCTCCCTGAAGTCTCACTGGTCAACAGACAATCCAAAATAAACAGAATGCTTTCTTACCAGAACTTTCTCCTTTAAACTAGCTGTATAAGGAACACAATAGCAGTTCATTTTAAAAATCATTACAATTCAAACTATCAACTGTAAGAATTTAAATGCTAGCTTTTTTCTTTCTTACAAGAGAATATATACATATATACATATGTCTGTGTGTCATTATTCTTGTTCTTTAGACATTGGAATTTGGTTTCTACACCCACATCTTTACTGAAACTACTCTTTATCTCGTCAGCATTGACAATTTCATTCATATACTTGCTTATTTATTCACCCATTTATTGGTGGAAAATGCTGGGAATAAAATATTAACATCATCAGCTCCTACCTGATGGTGCAGAGTACTATGCTATTAAAATATCACATAACTGCTACATCAGACATCTCAACAGGAGATGATGGGATTATATGGGCACCAGAAGGTCTTTGCTTAGATAGTGTTCATTCATTTGATCTTTCTGCAGAGTTTAATGGGGCTGCCCTCTACCCCCAACCCCAACTTTGTGAGGCTCTCTCTTCCTTACAGGTACAATTTTATATATCTGACTGCTCTGTCTCGGTGCTCTTGCTGTATTACCTTCTTCTCAAATAAACATGTTCTACTAAGAATTGAGATGATTCTGAGGGGAAATGTAGAATGATAACGGAGGCAGACTCAGATGCTAGAGGCTGCTGGTCCAGGGCTCCCCAACCTCTGCCTATCTACTCTCAGGCTTGTTTTCAGCTCCATATTGAGATTTGAGTATCACCATCTGGATAAGCTGATCACAGTTCCAATTAACATGACTAAAATAAACTTGCTACGTCTAGCCACCCTCATTCATCCCCTTTGCTAGTATTCCTGCCATGCATTTCCTTCCTGACCTCCCTCTGGCTTCCCTAACACACACACATTTAACCTGCACTAGTCCTCCTGAAGCCCACATGCAAGCCATATGAAAGGATGTTTTGTCCATTTCCTCTGACTCCTCTCTTTTGCTTTAAGGTCTTCTTGCTCTAATTTAATCTGTACACTTCACCAAGGAGATCTACCATTCTATCCCTGTCTCTTTACTGCCTACGGGACTCCACTCCTAAAGCCACTCACAGGGGTCAAGGTTCCCCATCTGGACATTAGTCACTCCAATCTTGCACCATGTATGTCTGGCCCTTGTATCTTGGAGGTATATCTTCCCCTCTCTCTGCTGGCCAAAATGCAGGCTTCTTTCTGTGTCCATCTCCTTTTCCTCTTCTTTGAATCTTTTTTTGCATCACCCTAAACAGAGGTGACAGCCCTTTGAGTTTCTGCAATACTTTGATTGCCTTTTTGGACCCTTTCTATTCTGCTTTACAAAAGCATCAATTATGTTCAAATATTTACCTTTTTATTTTTTTCATCATCTAGGCTCCAACCTAACTTACTTGCAGACGAGAGTCCAGTGTGCTGTGCACAAAGAAGGCTTTGCGACATTTA